AAAATTACAAATATATATATTTATTTTTACATTTACCCTAAAAAATAGTAAATATATTCAAAAATAGTTATTTTTCTCAGGTTTTAAGAGTTTAGTTTTACTATTTTTTTAGGCTAAACATATAAAAAAATATATATATATTTGTAATTTTAGCGGTTTATAAATTGAGGTTCTAAAATTTATTTGCAGTTTGAGCGCATTTAGGTCAAATACCGTTAAATAAAGATTGCTAAAGGGGTTAGACGCAAAGTTTATGAAACAACGAGAAAGTTTGATGCAGTTTTAAAAGTATGGGAGATTTGGTGCAATTTCATGAAACCACAGGTAAATTTTGTACAATTTAGCCAAATATAAAATACTCTCTTTTGAAAGAATTATTTTAGGGTGTGTTTGTTTGGGGATTTTGGATTTTGAGTTGGAATTTGAATAATAAAAATTTTAAATTTAATTAGTTGTATGATGTGATATAAATAGGCATTGATGTGATATTTTGAATGTAAAATTAATTTTTAATATAATATAAAAAATAAAAAATAAGTATTTAATTTGATATTTTTTTTAAAAAAAATTAAATAAATAGTAAAATTTTATTAAAATCCTTCAACCGAACAAACCCATATTTTTTTATTTTTGTCCTTTTCTAAAACTATTGGTGACGTGGCGAGAGAGTGAAGGATGGTGTGTATTGTCACAATAGATACAGAAGGGATTTGACATTTGTTTTGACCTTGTACAGTAACTTATTCATAATTTTGTGTGTTAGAAAATCCGCCCCGCCCGGAATTTGCGCGGGACATGAGGTGGTGGGGTTTGCTACAGTGCCCTTGACGGTGACAGTCGTGACAGTGACAGTCACAGCCATCATGCAATAAAGATGACATGACCATACACACAACAACTCTCATTACTATTCATCTATTGTTTGGGTCTGTTTGGTTAAATGATTTTATCCCCGCATTTATAATTTATTAAACTTTTAAATTGTGTTTATTTTTGTGATTTGTTTTTTTTTTTTATTTTACTATTTCAAAAATTATTTTTCTTAAAAATATTAAATTAAATATTTATTTTTATTTATTATATTACACTAAATTTAAATTTTATATTCAAAACATCACGTCAATACATATTTAAACTATTTCGATTCAAAATTTGACTGTTCAAAACCAAAATCCAAAATCAAAATTCCACAAATAAACACACGTTCATTATCTTTTTATTTTGGTTAAATTAGATACAAGAATTTAAATAAAGTATAATTAATAAATAATAAAAAATATTAATAAAAATAATGATAATGTAATAAAAACAATTATTTTATCCGGTAAATTATAAATATATCATTATACATGCAATTAATTTATACAAAAGTTAGAAGACAAAAATATCAAAATTTTTTATACACTTATACTCACTAATAAAATATTACTCAATCCGTGCTAACTCAAAGTACTTTTTTTTACAATTTTTGTCCGTTTACTCCAAAATATCAATTTTTTATTTTAATATAATTAATTTTACACCAATACTAATATATCCTTAACTTTGATATAAATTACAAATATAATATTACACATACAATTACTTTTTATATAAAGCCAAATGGTAAAAAATGACAACTTTTTATACACTTTCATTCACTAATAAAATAATATTATTTTTTAATATATTACAAAATTTCAAATATGACCACTTTTGAACCGGAACAAAAAGAATACTCCCTCCGTCCCGATACAATAGTCCTGTTTACCATTTTTGTCCGTCCTAAAACAGTAGTCTCATTTCCATAATATTATTATACAAGTATCAATATTTTTTACATTAATACACTTACAAAGGCAAAAAAATTTTTTACCCGTATATTTTACCCACTTACTAATATAATATTAATATTTTTTAAATTTCGTGCTAAACACAAATTATACTATAATTTTGGAAAGAAAAAATATTATTTTTAAATTTATTATAAAACTTCAAAAGAACTTTTTTACCTCTGTGCTATAGTTCAATTGATTGGGTGTGTGTTCTTCAAGTGTTTTTATTATGGGTGTGTTTGTTTGAAGAATTTTTGTGGATTTTTACTATTTATCCTAATTTTTTTTTTCCAAAAATATGAAATCAAACACCTATTTTTTATTTTTTATATTATACTAAAAATCAATTTTACATTTAAAACATCACATCAACCCCTATTTATATCACATTATACAACTATTCAAATTTAAAATTTTTACTATTCAAATCCCAACTCAAAATTCAAACCCCCAAACAAACACACCCTATAAAAATTTATTATTTTTATATTATATATATAATTTTTTATACTTTATATAAAATAATTTTCTTTCAAACTATTTTATACAATAAAACACCATTTGATTCTATTTATAATATATTATGTGTTTGTTTGGGGGTTTTGATTTTTGAGTTGGGATTTGAATAGTAAAAAATTTGAATTTGAATAGTTGCATGATGTGATATTTTGAATATAAAATTGATTTTTAGTATAATATAAAAAATAAAAAATAGGTGTTTGATTTTATATTTTTGGAAAAAAATTTTGGATAAATAATAGAATTTTATCAAAATCCTACAAACGAACACACCCTAAAAGTTTTCGTATTATTCATAAATAATAAAATATCTTAGAAAATATATTACTAAAATTATTTTTATTTAATACATTATATTTTATATACAAAATTATTAACATTTATTTATATTACATAAAATATATTTTTAATCCAATTATTTATTATTTTAAAATTTATCAAAAAATTAAAGTTTCTATACTTTTTATTTAAACAAAACATATTAAAATTTTATATTTAATTAATATTTAATATGAAATTAGTGTTTTTTTTAAAAAAAACATAGAGTTCAGAAAAGCCAAAGAAAATTTTTATAATGTTGGCATTATTTTCTTAAAAACAATTATCAAATTAAATATATATATTTTATAAAATGTCATATTAAATATTTATTTTTTATTATGTATAAAAATTTTCAAACTCTAAAATTCTTTTAAAAAAACAAATTGTCTTTGAAATTTACTTGATTGTACATTTGAGAATCTTTTTAGAATTAAGAATAATAAAATTTTAAATTAAAATAATAATTTATAATATATTAAATATAAATTACTCATTTAGTTCGAAATATCTATTTTCTATTTTTTAAAAAAGAATAATCATATATTAGTATCAAAATACTTTTAAATTTTATTCATCTTAACAGTCTATCTATTTTTTTATTTTGGTATGTCTCTTAATAATTTATTCATTTCTTCTTTTTTTTTTTTATTTTTATTTTTATTTTTTATAAGTAATTGTACTATCTACGTATCATTACAAATACCTTTCAATTTACAATATATTACACAAATGTTATTATCTTTATATCATACAACACTAATAGGATTAATTTAGTATTTTCACTTATATTTCTACAGTATCCTAATATAATATTAATATTTCTAAAACTCCGTGAAAAAAGTTAATGAATAAATAGATATGAGTCGAAAAGGTATTTAAATTACAATCATATCATTTTAGATACAATTACCTACATAAATTCAAAAACAAAAATATCAAAAACTTTAAACACTTCCACTATTTAATAAAATATTATTATTTTTTAATTTACTATAAAATTTTAAAAAAATCTATTTAATTAGGGACTGATATACAATAAAATAATTATAAATTAAAATAATTTAATTAAAATTTTTTAAATATATAAATTATAAAATTTTAAATATAATTAAACTATAAATATTTTATGTAAAACAAAAAAGAATAATTTTTAATATAATAAATAAATAAAAACATTTAAATTTATTTTTTTTAGAAAAAAAAAAGAAAAAAGGGAGAAAAAAGTGTAAAGAATGAGGTAAAGCCCCAAACAAACAATCGACGAGTAATACCGATTGTTTTACATGCTCACTACATGGTCTCAAATTATTTTCCAAACAGGGCACAAAATATGATGGGCTACAAAATGGGCCTGCCTAGGCCCAAGACGGCCCATTTCATCCTCTATGAAATTACAAAATTACCCCCAAAGAATATTTTACTCCATAATACGTCAGTCAAAATCATTGACAAGGACAAACATTTTTAATCTCATTCTAATTATCAAATCAGATCACTAATCCAACTTAATAATATATATATATATATTTATTAATTAGGCTAAATTGAACAAAATACACTGCGTTTTCATGAAATTTCACCAAATCCTCCGTATATCTAAAACTGCCTCAAACTCCCTCGTAGTTTCATAAATTTTGCATTTAACCCTATCAGTGGTCCTTGTTTAACGGTATTTGACCTAAATGCACTCAAATTGCGAATAAATTTTACAATATCAATTTATAAATCCCTAAAATTACAAATATATATATTTTTATATTTACTCTAAAAAATAGTAAATATACTAAAAAAATAGTTATTTTTTAAGTTTCAAGAGTTTATTTTTACTATTTTTTAGGCTAAATATATTTGTAATTTTAGAAATTTAGAAATTGAGATTCTAAAATTTACTTGCAATCTAAGCGCGTTTAGGCCAAATATCGTTAAATAAGAATTTATAAAAACATGAAAAAATTTGAAGCAGTTTTAGAAGCACATAAAATTGGGTGCAATTTCATTAAACTACCTGTGGATTTTGTAAAATTTAACCGTGTTGATAAGGACATTTGAGTCCAAGGGTGTGCTTGTTTTGGGGTTTGGATTTGAGTTGAGATTTGAATAGTAAAAAATTTGAATAGTAAAAAATTTGAATTTGAATAGTTGTAAGATGTGATATAAAGAAGTATTGATGTGATGTTTTGAATGTAAAATTAATTTTTAGTATAATATAAAAAATAAAAAATAGGTGTTTGATTTGATATTTTTGGGGGAAAAGAATTGGATGAATAGTATAAACCCAATCCAATTCCCCAAACAAACACACCCTAAATGGAAAAGGTGGTTTGGGTTCTTAATTCCTTCCAAGCTCGGCTGCGCCAACCCAAATGGAAACTGGTTTCTGCTGATCTTCTAGAATCTAGGTCGAGATTGTACCCTAAATCCTCCATAACCATAAGCACTTGTTCTAGAAATGCAATTTGACTCAGATCGTACACATTGGATGACTGGAAGTGTTGCTGTGCCTAGAAATACACAATTTCTATTCCAGAAAAAGCGATACATGACACTTTTGAAGTGGTCAATCTCGGCACTCTCCGTTGCTTTCCGTCCTCAAATATCTCTCACTTCATAGCAGGAATTGATGTGCTCATTTTTGGTAAGCTCTGTGATCCGTGCGCGTTGATTAATTAATTAATTGGTCGGTTGGAGATGGAGAACAGTGCGGCAACAGCGAGAGAAGAGAAGGAAGGCTCGAGCGAGGGCGGATTGAGTGCTCAGAGTATGAAGGAAGGCAAAACCATGTCGCGGCGGAAGAAGAAGAGCTTCCGTTATTTTTTGCCCAAATTTGGGTGTATGAAGCTGGACGACGACGTTTCGAGGGACGACGGCGGGAGCTTTGACGTGGAGGCTAATTCCGGAGAGAAGAATCAGCCGCCGACTCACCTGGTTGTTATGGTCAATGGAATTATTGGCAGGTTTGTGTTCTAACATATAATACGTATTTGGAATAAGATTGGATTTGTGATTTGTCGGTGAAATTGTTGTTTGACGTGTCTCTGCAGTGCTGAGGATTGGAAGTATGCTGCGTATCAATTGGCTAGGGCTTATCCGAATGATGTTATAGTGCATTGTGAGCTCGATTCATCTCTGAAATTTCGATTGCAATCTTGCTGTGTTTTTCATCATTTGTTGCATTCTGTTCCAAATTCCAGTGTTTCCTGCACATGGTATTGCTACGTTTTTCGTCAACTAATCGATAAGCAAAATCGTAAACTACATTAATTTGTTTGTAGTTAGCTATACATGAAATCCAATGCTTGTGTGGTTCATTGAGATACTCTTTTTTTGGAATCCTTCATCGTTGTTATGGAAGCTGAGGAGAGTGTTTTTTACTGTCTGTAATCTGGAAATGCGCTAACATTGACGAAAATGTTATGTCCAGGCAGCGAGTCGAATGCATCGAAATTGACATTTGATGGTATTGATGTTATGGGGACAAGATTAGCGAACGAGGTTTGTAATGAATTTCACGATAAGACTTTTAGTCGAGCTAGAATTATGATTGCTACTAGTATCGATACAGGTTAAGTAAAGGGTAATTGCTTTATTGATATTTCAGGTGATTTCTGTTGTCAGTCGTCATCCGGCGCTTCAGAAGATTTCTTTTGTAGGTCATTCTCTTGGTGGATTGGTGGCAAGATACGCCGTTGCGAAGCTTTACCAACAAGATTCAATAAGGGAAAAATCCGGTGAAGGAAAGGAGGAGGATAGTGGAAATGAGCCGCGGATATGTTTAGAAGAGAAAACAAGAGCATCAATTTGCGGCCTCGAACCTATGAACTTTATTACAGTCGCAACACCACACCTTGGATCGAGAGGGCATAGGCAGGTATATCAGTTTTGTACATTTCTATTTTTCTATAACTATTGACTACTTGCTTTGAATTGATGAACAAATTTGCGACTTAATTCTTCGCCGTAAATGAATGAACTTATCGTAGTAAGGTTTATTGTAGGTTCCTATGTTTTGTGGAATTTACAACATGGAGATATTTGCGATGCGGACTTCATGGTTGTTTGGTCCAACGGGAAAACATTTATTCTTGTGCGATAATGAGGACGGGGAATCTCCGCTCTTGCTAAGAATGACCAAAGACTCCGAAGAACTTATGTTCATGTTAGTACTTTTCTTCTGATTTTCAATGGTTGTTTGTTTGTTGAATCTGTGAAGTTTAATATTGCACTTATTACAGCTCTGCTTTGAAGTTGTTCAAGAGGCGCGTTGCCTATGCTAACGTACATTTTGACCGTATCCGCATCCGTTTTCTTAGTGTATCATCTCTTTACATTGCATCTTGAACTGTGAGTTTTCAATGGCCTTAACACTTGATGTTAGATATTGTTGGATGGAGTTCGTCGTCATTGCGCCGAAGGAACGAACTCCCAAAGGTAAACATTACAAGTTCCTGTAAATATGTTTGTTCCGACTAATCTATATATATATATATATGGGAGAAGTTATTGTGCTGATATATATATGTCAAACATTTTGTTATGTTAGTTGAAATCATGTGCTAACAATTCTATTGTTATAGTGAACTATGTTGTCAGCTGCTAAATTATGATTTTGGAGTTTTGCAGTAGATTAAAAAATAATACTCCCTCCGTCCATATACAAATCAAACATTTACTTTTGGTTCGGTGTTTAAGAAATAATAGTATTTTAATTATAGTGAGTAGTTAAAAGTAGTGTAATGACATTTTTGCCTTTGTTTTTTTTGTATAAAAGTAATGATGTGGTGTAAAGTAAATTATTTTACGAAGGGAGTAGTATTTTACTGTATTAGTTATTGAAAGTTTCAAAAAGTTTTGACATTTTTAGCCTTTGTCTTTATGAATAAATGCGTGTAATGGTATGTTTGTAATTAAATTAAAAATTAAAGAGTATGATTACTTTTACAAAAATAGGAAAGAGACACTTTTTAGTAGGACAAACGAAAACTATAAAAATGATACTTTGAGTTGAGACGGAGAGCGTATAATATGGCAATATATCTTGCTAAGTGTTTGTTTATTTTTATTTTTAGCGCCGGAGTCTTCTTAGAAATGCAAAGTACCCACACATTGTCTACGAGCAGCAATCGAACACGGGCAACGCTCAAGAACTCCCGTTGGGGGTCAAAGTTATGAGACGCAGGAGGACACACGATATGGAAGGTGACCTTCATTTTGTTCCATGTTGGGCTCTCGGTTCGATTTTGTCGCTCGCTCTTTAGAACTTGATCGTAAATTATTACAACATATTGATCAGCGATCTTTTCTTGTTTATTACAAAATAGAAACGATGATCAGAGGACTAACCGGACTGAGCTGGGAACGAGTCGACGTCAATTTTGGTGGAAGCTCGCAGAGATTTCTCGCACACAACACAATTCAGGCATGCATCCTTTCATTACATCTAACGCCTACATTCTGTCCGGTTCTTACATTTAAAATCGAGCACGCCGTCTATAATATTGCACTACATCGTTTAGGTCCAACATTATTGCATCAATTCTCACGGCGCCGATGTAATACAACATATGATCGACAACTTTGCGCTATAGGAACAGAATCAAACCTATGTTCTTCGTATCCCACGGTCGCTCGCCGGGCCGGTATTTTTCGAGGAATTCTTTGTCTGAGACAAAATATGCAGGAAAGAGGTAAATACATTTTTCCAAATTTAGAAATTCTGTTGAGATTAATAAGTTTTTATGAGGAATTTTATTTATATAAATGATAAATCTTTAGCATGGCTGTGTTAGCTGTAAAAAAGAATGCAGAAAAGAGAAGGATTCTTGTTTGTTTTTGTTTTGTATATGGATTTGGCCAAATTTGTTTGATGTTGTGGCAGCATTCTGAGATTAAATCCTAGCCGTTCAATATGTCAAAAAAATTTATGTGTATTTTCGAGTGGACCAGCACAGCACTATTCACATTAAATTCAATAACGCTTCAGTATTTCACATAATTTATGCAGCAATTATGAATACAATATTATATAAAATACAAAAAAAAAAAAAAAAGGATAAAATATTTCTTTTTTTCGAGTTAATAGAAAATATATTAAAAAGTTGATAAATGTATAATGTGATATGTAAAAACAAAAAAAGGAAAATAGTTATTATTGAGTAAAGTAAGGGTGTGCTTGTTTGGGGCTTTTGGCTTTTGAGTTGGGATTTGAATAGTCGTATGATGTGATATAAATAAGTGTTGATGTGATGTTTTGAATGTAAAATTGATTTTTAGTATAATATAAAAAATGAAAAATAGGTGTTTGATTTGATATTTTTGGGGGAAAAATTGGATGAATAGTATAAATTTAATCAAATCCCCCAAACAAACACACCAGTATATGCAGGAGTTATATATATATTTGTCCATATCTCATCATATTTATAATACAATATATATTATATTATAACTCAATATATGTTATTTTGTAATATAAATATTAAAATATATATAAATATATGTTAATTAGTTCTATAAGTATATGTTGAACAAATTAGCATCATGACCTGATCACCACAGGATCGGCCAAATAAAAATAATAAGATTGTACGTAAATAATACTGTGGATAGATGAAATATATATTTTCATCTTATTAAATTATATGTCAAATTTTATTTTTTAAATTAATAGTTTTGATTCTTATTTATTAAATTAGTTATTTAATTTTTAATTAGCAATTCATAAGCTTTTTTACACTGTGTTTGTTTGGGAATTGGATTTTAAATATACTGTTCATTTTTTTTCTCCAAAAATATAAAATCAAACATTTATTTTTTATTTTTTATATTATACTAAAAAATTAATTTTACATTCAAAATATCATATCAATACTTATTTATATCACATCATACAACTATTTAAATTCAAAAATTTTACTATTCAAATTCCAACTCAAAATTCAAACTCTCAAACAAACACATAATAAATTTATGTTTTAAAATTTCAACAATTAATTGTTAGATTATAAGCAAAGATTGTAATTAAAGATTAAAGTTGAAATAATTTAATTGATGAAGGATAAACAATAAAAATACATATATAAATAGAGACTTAAAAATAGGAGAGCTGAAAATCCGAAATTAACACGGAAAATACCATAACTATTTTTTATCCAATAAAAATTGTTAGAAATTTTGGGGAAAAATAATGAAATTGTGGAACTATATATATAAATAATACAAAACAAACTTGATAGACTAAGTAATCTAATCTTATTAACAAGATCAAATTTAGATATAAATTTACTAAATCTAAAACTGAATATCTAAAATATCTCAACAAAAATTAGACAAAATTGAAAGCCATTGACAAGTTGAATGATTTCTTGCGAGCGAGCTTATAAAGAAATGATGGGGTGGGTCATATGAAACAAGTTTTAATGTAAAAGAGACCACAAGTAGAGACCAAAGAATGGGTTTTGGAAAAATTCGACTATTTTACAGAGGTCGAGAACAAACAAGAGAAAGATGAGCAAAATTTAATGAAAGAAAATTTATTTTTTATAACAAAGATGAATTAAATTCATATTTTTATTATTTGAACTTTACATTTCTTTTAAATATATATATATATATATATATTCTTATTAAATATTTTATTATACATCATATAAATACCAAATACTACAAATTAAAAATTTTAAAACCCGCACACCCTAAATTTATTAAAAAGGTTCTTTAAATTTTTTTAGTTTTTGAATCCATTATATTAATATAATAAAGTTTATTATATTTTTATTAAAATCTCAGCTCAAATATAATTAATTTAGTGGAGGAAACGGGAGAGCAAAATCTTGCGTGTATTTGAAGGATTACATTTACACAGTACACGCACTGACTGCTGACTCCACCCCCAACCCCACCCCCACCCAATTAAAATAAAATACCCATCCAATTAACTAAATAATTAATTAATCCAATACAAGATTGATTAAAAACCAAAAACATATAAATTAAAAGAGGATAGGCAAGAGAGAGAGAGATGATAATATTCATTGAAAGTGAAAAGCCATGGGAAGAACTGACTCACAAATCCCTTTCTTGAGTGAGAAAACATTTGGATTTTGAAGATAGGCCCCCTTTTCTTGTCAGCATCATTTTCCCCACATTCTTCTCTCTCTCTCTCTCTCTCTCTCTCTCCATTTCTGATCAGATCAGATCAGAACAGATTTTTGTTTCTTCCCCAAACCTCAATCTCAATTTCAATTTGCAAATTGCAAATTGGGGCTCATGAAACGAGGACTTCACCCCAAAGGAATTAGCCCTTTCCTCTCCAACTTTTTCCATTTCCTCAAGTTGCTGTCTCTCTCACTTTCCATCTCCATCATTGCAGCACTGCAACACCCCAAACAAACTTCCAAAAAAAACCATGGATAATGATCATCATCATGCATTCATATCTCAATCCTTACTATTATATATATAAGAGTCGATTCTTTTCCCCAAACATTCTGAACCATGATTTTCCTAAGAACAAGTAGGCTGATCATTTGCATTCTGGCTATCTCCTTCTTGCTAAATTCTGGTTTATCTCGAGGTGAATCACTCATCGATCATTCATCTTTCTTCCCCAAATTGCACAACATTCTGATTACCTAACTGACTTTTCATCAATTACTGTGGTTTTTCAGCTAGGCATTTCGTCGAACACCCTGAAGGCAACCTGGTAAGACTGTTTTTTACCTAACTAATGGTTGATTGATTTCTGTTTCCTTGAAAGCTAAAGTTGGCTGCTGCATCAATGGAAGTGCAGAGGAGATACCGAGAAGAGGATATGAAGTCGATGGGATCGAAGCCGCCGAGGTGTGGGAAGAGGTGCAGGTACTGTAGGCGTTGCGAGGCGGTGCAGGTCCCCATTTCGGCCATGGATAAATCGAAATCGAAATTGAAAACCCTAAATTGGAGGGGGGATGATCTCTCGAATTACAAGCCCATGTGCTGGAAGTGCAAATGTGGAGACTTCTTCTTCAACCCTTGGTGAGGTGAGAGGTTCTTCGATTTATTTCTGGGGCTTTTTCCACATCTTTCTCCATTTTGTGTTCTTGAGCGTGAATTGAAATTGTTTGGGTAAAATGTCTGTCTGCATAAAGAAATAATGAAGATTTCGCCATTGTAATATGAAGCTGATCGCGTCTTGCTGCTCTGCTCTCTTCTCTCAGCGTATCGTCTTTAGGCAGAAATGGATTTTGAATTGGGACCGGGACCAATATAGTATAACGGTCCCGGACCCTGTAATCCAATACTGGGTGATAATATTAATAGAGGTGTCTTTGGTTGTTCCAATTTTCTATTGTTCACCATTTTTTAAAACATTAATCAAATATAAAATATATTTTTGGTTATATTATCAAATATTTAAGGATTATGATAAAAATATTTGTTTATATTACGATTAAATTAAAATTTTATTGCTTACAATCTCAAACACAATTTTTTCTCACCCACATCCAAACACATGAAAATGTATTTCTTTCTTTTTTTGTCCAAACACAATTATTTATTTATTTATTTATTTATTATTGTAAGGCTCGTGGATTCAAATTCGGACGTCACCTGCCACACATGATAAAATGTATTCCTTTTTAGAATTTTATAATAAACTAAAAATAATAATAATATTTTATTAGTCTGAAAATATGTAAAACTTTTTGATAATTTTATTTTTTTTAACTATATATATAGTTATATATGTAATGATATATTTATAATTTAAATAAATATTATTTTTTTTTATATTAACTTATAATTATTTTTATTAAAATAAAAAAAATCACAATTAATGGAACAAACAAAACTAATAATAAAAAAATACTTGAGACAGATAAAATAATTTTTTATAAAAATATATTTTTTATCCCAACTCAATATATTTTTTTATTATTTTCTTCTATCTTATTACCTTCAAAATAAATACTCCCCCAAAATAAGTGTATAAATTGTTTTTAAATATTCATTTCAATGGCCATATTTTTATAATATTTGTTTACACCATTTTCAATATAAAAAATTATTTACATTTTTCAATAAAATAATATTATCTTCTGGTCAATTTAAAAAATATATATATTTACTTTTTACACAAAATTTAGTATATATTACTTTTATTTTAATAATAATTAATTTTGATAAGTAAAGAGTTATTTTTCTTTAGTATTATCTTTGATTAGTGTATTATTTTACGTGAGACTGTAAATACAAAAATATTTATAACAATATAGTTAAATTCATATATAGCAAAACAATTAAATATTTTGTATTTCTAAATCAAAACCCCTATTACTAATACTCTTCCTGTTATCACTAAATGTACTAAGGGTGTGTTTGATTCGGGGATTGAATTGGATTTACATTATTCATCCAATTTTTTTCCCCAAAAATATCAAATCAAACACCTATTTTTTATTTTTTTATATAATACTAAAAAAATCAATTTTACATTCAAAATATCACATCTAACACCTATTTATATCACATCATACAACTATTCAAATTCAAAAATTTTACTATTCAAATCCCAACTCAAAATCCAAACCCCCAAACAAACACACCCATATGTGTGCTCAAATATTAAAATATAAATTTCAATAAAAGTGAATAATAATAATAATTTTTTATTTTCTATAGTAAAAAACAGTTTTTTTTTTTTTTTACGACAAATCTCCCACGTAAGAGGTGACCAATAAGTGTGCAAATGGACTCAATACTACAACATACAATAATTTACAAACTATTGGGTTCTAACCCAGATCATAAAAAAATGTAAACATTTAAAAACTTTAAACGAAGAATATACAGTCAACATTTTAACAATACCCACAACAATAATCAAAAGTGACAATGTGTAAAAAAGAACAAATATTAAAACATATTATACCATTTCAACATCATCTTTCTCAAACAGCAATTACATGTCACTTTTGCACACCAATCAACCAAAATTAAAATATTAACACACTTCCAACTCCACACATCTACAAAAAAAAAAAAAAAAAAAAAAAAAAAAAAAAAACCATTCACCCACCCACCCATTCTCGTTCTTCCTCAAATCTGTACACAAATCCTATTTGTAGTTAGTCATAAATATCTACTCATCCCCCAATCAGTCCCTTAAAATCACTCACACCAAAAAACAAAATCAAGAAAACAATCTATCCCTAATCAAATAGACATCATATATATATATATATATATATCATATATGTGTATACGTGTGTGTAATTGTCACTTAATTTCATCAACAAAGAAAGAAAGATTAATTAATGATCAATCAAAAAAGTAAATCTTGAGGAGGGCAGAGTTCCTTACGTAGTTTATGAGAGAACAGCCTGCAAGCATCCACACTCAGGTCCAGCGCCGCCGCCAGCGCCACGAAGGCGGCGGCGTCCTCCGTGCATCCAACGTGCTGCACGCTCACCTCCACCAGAGGGGCGGCCACCGCCTTTCCCCGGCAGCGGCGGTGGTGGCACGCCTCGCCAGCTATCCTAGCCAGCATTATGAACCCTCTGTACATGCTATACGGCCACAGAACGTATCCGTAGTCCCCGCTGCTTCGTGGGCTGCAGCCAGGCGAAGCGCCTGCGCTCCCCGCAGGAATTCCTCCATTGTTGCCGGATAAGTCCATCACGAACTTCCCTCCCTTGCTGGAGCTGAGAGCCGACTCGGCTAAGACGATCCCTGCAGCTGCAGCTGAGTCGGGAATTAGTTCGAATCTGTAGCCAATCCCGTCGGCTGAGCCGTGCTCGCGCCATGCTTCTAACCGACCCCACGGCTTCCACGTGCCGTCTCCGGGCCGGAGAATGAGCCAACAGCCGGGGTTGGATCGGCTCACCCTGTCAGAGCCCGGCGAGGCCACAAATGGAGTCACCATTGATGCGACTGCAACTGGCGAACCGGAGAGGTCGTGGATTGTGATCGACCAGCCCTTTCGTTCTTTTCCCGGCCTTTCTCTTTCACTGCCAAACGAGCTTAACCATCCCCGGGGGCCGCCGGCGCTGTGCTCCGGCGGCAGAGATCTAGCAATGTGCAATTCAACAGAATACAGTTAAAAAGAAATGTTCTGGTGGAACTAACATTGTAGTTTACTCCAACTTCAAAGTATGGTTTCTTTCTTTAATGGCGATGGACATTAACCAATCAAGGAAAATAAAATCTATATTCACGCACAGACAATATCCAGACAATATCTCCTTTATAAATCATATTCCTTCCATAGATTTTGAACTCTCAATTCAATGGCATCATTAGTTAAATCTAAAGTTGAATTATCCAAAGCTGCTTTAACGTACAATCACAGAAATGCCATTGTAAAGAGTAATTCCGAATTTAGGGTTTTCTTCGATTACCTGGAGCGCTGATTCCGGTCGGCCGTGCGGAAGCTGAACTTGCAGGTGAACACAGGCTGACGAACACTGCCTCGAATTTGGAATACGTGCGGGCTGCATTCCGGCTCGCCGTCGAACTCGAACACGAATCTAGGATCGGGCTCGGCCTTCACATTCAGGTGAAATTGTGCGACTCCTTTCGAATCCTTCCACAAATTAATCCATCCGTTCTGGAAAACCACCGCCCTAGACTCCGCCGCCGTCAGATCCAACGGCACGCAAACTTTCCCCAGCAAATGCCCCGATTTCACACCGCACGTCACGCCGCGGCGGCCGGAGTAGACCGAGATTTTGAGGTACGGCCGTTTGGAGGTCGCAAACAGGGAGGATTTCCCGGTGAGCCTGTCGAGATCGGTTTTGCTGAGGTGGAAGCTCGCGGCGGTCCCCACCGAGTTCCCGTCGGGGAATTGCGAGCTCTCCGGCGGAATGTAGGGGACGGCGGCGCTCTGCAGGGCGAAACTCTTCAACTTAATAGTGCAGAAACACGGCGAAGTCGAGGGATGCACGGCGCTGCGAGCTGGCTTCGCCGCCACCGGGAATTTGAGCGCTAAATTCCCCACAGTCAAGCGCACAAACGTACACGGATCCATCGCCGATCAATTTCCCTCTCCGGTGAAGCAGAATCCCCAATTTCCCGAACTTATTAGGGTTTAGCCGCCGACGGCGCAGGTTTGAGAAAAAGAGCGTAAAGTTCTAACGTGCACGGATAGCGGCGGGAGTCGAATTACAGCAGTCCATAGGGACGCGCGCACCACTCACCTCTTTCTATATGCACTTTTCTGTTACTAACTTTAAACTCAAATTTTTAAATAAATAAATTAATTAGATATAATAGTAGTGGCAATTTAAAAGTAAATAAATAAAATTCATAATTCGATTTTCCTAAAATTAAATAAAAAATAAATTGACGGAAGGGGGTGGGGTGGGGGGTGGGGTGGGGGGTGGGGTTATGGATTTGGTGGCATATTTAGTAGTCTGCTAACATACCTATATGCATAGCTTACAGCTGTCGCCAGCCTGTCGCTAAATGTGCGCCAGTCGGACTGAAGTTGACGGCAATCTGAACTGCATCCCAACTGAAATCCCCAAAATGCCCTCCAAATAGTATTTGAAAGGACGGAACTACCCCTCTTTTCCATATGCTCAAAAAGGAATTACTTAATTTATAAATTTTCTCTCGTTTGGGATTGAATTGAATCTGCGGCTCGTTGTTGGTGGCCGTTAGATATAAGATGGAGGGCTCCTATTTCGACACGTGGCAGGAGATCTAGCTCTTTACTTTCAGCGTCGACAGAGATGAGATCGTGCGGTCGGATGTTGCTGTGCGCTAGCTGTCTAAAGTATTTATTAGTTACTACTATAAATTAAAGGGCTTTAATTTAATTTAATTGATTGCATTTCCTACAAATAGTGGGATCATAACAAACAATTGAATTGAATGAAGAAAATTAAGTGCATTGAAAATTCACAATACAAATTATAAAAAAATTGATCATATATGCTAGTCTAAATTCTTTATTGAACTCGTTTACTATGTCGATCGATACTATGTTCTATTATTTTATTTTTTTTATGTAACATTCAACTATTTTTATTTTATGTCACAATCAACTAACTAAACGACAAGAGCACAAGTATAAGAACTAAATGTACCTGTAAACCATTCCTGAATCAACGTCGTAACCGAGCGTCGCCACGAGGAAGAATATTTGTCTCGAATGAATCCAGCCATAGACGACGACGACGAATTGCCGCAGCAAGAACGCGCATTACATGATCAGATACGATCAAATCAGCACAGGCAAGCTGCGATCTTCTTGGAATTACCCGATCGATCATATTTATTTGTGTTTCGCCAGATTCAGAAGGAAATCTGTGAATATATGCTCGGGCATTTTTCCATACCCTGGAGGTTAAACGCCGAATTTTATGGTCAAGACGATGTAATTTCAAATAATAAACATCCTTGTAATTCGACGTACCTGGAAAATAATTGATATCTATGACGTAATAGTGATCTGGTGTCCCGAGTTCTCGAATTATATCCATGTTGAACAGCTGAAGGCCCTGTTCATAAGCATCGATGGATGATCAACATAGATTCCGGCTAGCTTAGCGACATAAACATCCCAAAATCACGGGTGTACCAGCCTTAGCCTCAGTTCCCGAGCCAGTCTCTCGAGCAACGGTTGTGGAGGAAGCTCTGTGCCAAATCACAAACTAAGGATAAGAAATCTCGAATTGGCTTCCGGTGAATAGATAAGACGATACAATTTACCACCGTAAAAAAATAAAACTAACAACTTACCAGCAATACGAGGATTCAGGTCTGCTTCATCGGCAGAAGCAGCAGCGCAAGATACTCTCGGAAAGCTATAAACACCAGCGTTCTTCGACAATTCGTGTTTGCCGATGTCAGGCAAGGAGAAACGCCTGACGACCTTTATTGCTTCGCCGACTACGTATACTTTGAAGAGCAGACCTCCTAGAACATGAATAAGGAATGTGTGTGTAAGAAAAGTTTCATTCAAGTTATTGTCCGTTGCAAAAGACGGCAAAGGATCTCTTACACACCGTGATTAATGAATTCCTGCAGAACGAGTGGCGGTTCCAACATTCGGAGGGAGAATTCGTCGTATGCCAATGATAGCTCGTGCGAATTTGCAACCAAAGGCTTTGCCACTGAAGTATGTAGCAATTTTATCGTGAAAGTTCCATTTAGACAAACAAGATACAGTTATTCGATAAAAAACTTAAAGCTTTCCATAAAATAGTTTTATTTAAATTTGGAGATCTACCAATTGGTAGCCTCAGCCTAGCCTTGTTCACTGCACCGGGGATAGATGATGCGTCTTTCTTGATAACCAATTGCTTTGGGACACCGACTTTTCCTACAATCAGCGTATATTTAAGTATCACTCTTCAAAAATAGTTGAAATTATATGCACAAATATGTATAAATCGGTTATAAATGCACCAATTCCATTCAAGGGAATATCTTCCAGACTTACCCAAGGAGCTTGGCAGATTCAGGTTAGCAACATCTTGAAGCATAGACTGACGGTTGTGCAGTTGCTGTACGGCGTTGGGTGGATCAAGGACTGTGACCTCTGGGTGTGTGCTCCAGTAATCCTTTGAACGAAGCAACGGGAAAATGATTGTAAAAGAGTAAAAATTTTGTATACAGTCATACGATAATCTCAAACCCATAAATGTACTACATTTTCATTTGCACAGGGCATTAGAGCAAACGGAATCAGGAAGATCGAAATCCCTGAAATGAAATAAGTGGTGAACTAGTGAAGTGGCAATAAGGTTGCAAAATAATAATCTAGGTCTCAAATTAGAAGTAAAATTAAGGAGCACAAACAAAAGTCGATGCAGAAAAAAAATTGATTTCATCTTGACTGCAGATGCAGCTGGCGATCAAAAGCTGTAACTTAAGTTGCAGTCCCAAATGTTTCGTGTGAAACTACTAGAATAGTTTTAGTTAATGCTACACCGACTTCTTTAAAGGAAAAAAGATATAATAAAATTCAAAACTACAGCAAAAACTCCATTGTTGATCCCACACTACCACCAAATGAAAACTTGCAAGCCATTAAACATTGTGTAACATACCTCAAGCATTCGTCGCCATTCTTTTCCAGATAACTGCATGAAAGACAACAAAACAAATGTACATCTATCTCTCATATAATCATGAACGAAATCGGATTAACAACTGGCAGATAGAGTACAAGCAACTCACCTTGTGCAAAACAATGTCGAAAGGACCTTGATCAGATAGGGATCTACTCGGGTCAATAACTACAAAAACAATCCCCTGATTCCTGCCTCATCATAAGATCAGGGAAGTACTACTTGGATACAAATTAAATTACGAAAACAATTAACACAGCTTGCTATTCACATCAAAATAAGAAAATATAAAAACAGATTCACTGGATTCAAATCAAATTTTACACCTAAAAATTCAGATATGCAGCATGTGGACAACTAAACAATTGACAACGAACATGTAATGTGAGTTGTGGCACATTGTTTTACACCACATGATTCCCTGGTCTTCGTGTAGATTAATGTTAACAAAAAGTGTTTTCCAAAATTTGAATTCCAAATTCTAAATCTCAAATTAAGTGAAGCAAACAATCCTCGCAGTTTAGTGATCCCTAATAGACATTCCCAATCGATACAGAAATGTGCCTAACAGTTCAAATCGAACAAGAAACTTAGCACGACAGAAGCACCTGTCGAATAAAAAACCATTATATTGCCCAAATTCCTTACAAAGACGAAAATCAACAATTCAGGACCGTCAGCTACAAACCCTAGAAATCAGATACATTCAAAATTGCGCAGCAATCCGCAGTTTTCTTCGTATAGTTTCAAATAAGAACAAATAAATAATTAATTAACAGGCCATAAAACGACAGGGGAAAAAGGAACAAAGAAATTTTACATTTCACGACATACCTTGCAAATCGTTCAAACTGAGGCTGAAGAAAACTCTTAATTTTCTTAGAAGTGAGAGCATATCCGACCACGACGGTCTTCACCGCCGAAGGAAACCCTCCACCTAGCGCCGCCGGCGCGCACTTCCTCTGCGCCGCCACCATTTTCTCTTTCTCCACTTCTTCCCTTTCCTCCTCTTTCCTGCACGCTACTATTTCCCCTCCCATCCTCCAGTTACTTCGAAACCTCTTCTCACTCACACACACAGAGAGATATCGAATCTCACTCTCTACACACACAATAAATTTGTATCGGCTGGAATTTCCGATCAAGCCACCACAATCTTTCCTCGTTTATCCGTTACAAAAGCGATTCAGCTGGTTGTATTGATTTCTGGCAAACTTCTTGGCCGAAAAGGGATGGGATTGGAGGAGGAATCGAGTGGAAAAGCGATATGAGCGAGCGAGAGAAGGGGAAGGAAGGGTTCATTTGCATGTGGCCGAGTATTTCTACGCACACGAATACGGGCCGGGTCGGGTCGGCGGCCCGAACAACATTAAAGGTATAAGGGTGTGTTTGGCAAGATATGTTTGTTTTTCTTTTTCCATGCTTTTAGGAGTTGTTTGATTTGGTTTTAAAATTAAAAAGCAAAACTACATAGAACAACATTTATGGGTAGATTTTATACTATATTGTCAAATTAAAAAATGATTTTTATTTAGGGTGTGTTTGTTCCGAGTTTGGATTTTGAGTTGAGATTTGAATAGTAAAAATTTTGAATTTGAATAGTTGTATGATGTTATATATAAATAGGTGTTGATGCGATGTTTTGAATGTAAAATTGATTTTTAGTATAATATAAAAAATGAAAAATAAGTGTTTGATTTGATATTTTTCAAAAAAAAAAATTGGATGAATGTTATATTTAAAATCCAATCCCCAAACAAACACACCTTTAGTGTTGTTGCAAGATACTCCCTCCATCCAAACTCGAAAAACTATTTTTATCATTTTCTTGTGTTCCACTTCAAAGTAATTTTTTTTTCAGTAAAAGTAATCATACACTAATACCAAAATACCCTTAAATTTTTTCAAAATTACAAATATATCATTACACACGCAATACTTTTTACATAAAATCAAAGGAAAAAATATCAAAACCACTTACATATTTTCACTAGCTAAACTATTATTTTTTAATCTACTACAAAACCCCCAATGACACATTTGGATCGAGACAGAGGAGTATAGCCACAGATTTTGTTATGATTTGGTCAAGTCAGCATAGTGCTGATTTGACTAGATTAACATATCTATATTATAAATATGTTGAGAGATATGTATAAAAATATATCGGTCAACTTTGTAACATATGTTTGATTAATGTCTATTTGTTTTATATAAAAAATTCCTCACATCATTTTTTTTAAAAAAAAAAAATTAATATATTACAAATATTCATTATTTTTTATATTACCTACACAATTCTCGCATAAAAAATAATATATTTTCAAAACAAATACACCCAACAACTAATAGAATTGAAATGATTATTGGTGATATTTTTCATATAAATTTTGTCTTTTATTTTTAAATTTAGGATGTGTTTGTTTGGGGGTTTGAATTTTATTTTTAGCAGTGAAAATTTTAGATTTGAATAGTTGTATAACATGATATAATAAATAGATATTGATGTGAAATTTTGAATATAAAATTAATTTTTAATATAATTTAAAAAGTAAAAAATTTGTGTTTGATTTAATTTTTTTAATTTTTTTTTTTTTATAGAAATAGTAAAAATTTTGTAAAATTTTGCAAATAACCCACCCTTAATGTAAATGTATTGACTTCAATAAAATATAAATTTGAAAATATTTATAATATGAAATGTGATTAAATTTTCTAAAATATTGAAATAAATAATTTTTTTATATAAAATATAAAAAATTATATAAATAATATAAATATATAAAGATATGTAATACTCCCTCGTTCCCATAACAAAATATTTATTTTTTTATTTTAATATGTCTCATAACTAAATATCAATTAGTAACTTTACTATCTACTTAACATTACAAATAGCCTTACAACTTACAATATATTACGCAAATATCGTTATATTAATATCACACAATACTAATAAAATTATTTTAATCATTTCACTTTATTTTTATTATATAATAATATAATACTAATTCTGTATAAAAAATAAATGAATACATAATTATGGAACGGAGGAAATATATTAATTGTTTTTTTTTACATGAAATATAATAAAAAGTATTGCAAAACAAACAAATTAATTAATCCTGAAACCCCACAAATAAATAAACAAAACGTGTTTTTGCACACGTGTCCAACGGCAAAATGAAGAAATTACATGGTGCAGACAGCAAAGCAAAGCAGCGCAGCCAAAACTGACGCGAAGAAAAATTTGGACACGATTGCTGTAATAATTAAACAAAAATGTGTTATTCATTCATTTGTTTAAAATAAGTAATTACACAAATGTATTAGCGCCAATTTTTATAAATATTATTTTAAAATAATATATATATATATATATATGATACTTTTATGTAAAAGCAAAAAAAAATATATATATATATATATATAAATGGTAGAAGTTAAAGTGAATATGAATTAATTAGAAAAAAACAATTAATTAAAGCTTAATAGCACTCCCTCCGTGCCAGCTGTCTGATACACTGTAAATTGATACACCGTAGACACGGTATTTTAGAAATGATGTAATTAATAAATAATTAAGAATGTATTAGTAAAAATAATTATATTATAATATAAATAATTATAAATTAAGATTAAGATAACTAATTAGTTTAATTAAAATTAAAAAAATAAAATTTAAAAATTTAAAATGAGATTAAAGTGTGTAATCATTTTTAAAAAAAGGAAAGTGACATGGTATATAGGACGAATAAAAACAGCAACGGTGGACATGCTATTGGGACGAAGGGAGTAATATACTAGTAAAGTGATGGATTGAAATTCTAATTTCTTTCAAATTTTATTTGTCACATATTCACTTATTTTACTAACTTTAATTTGTAGGCTATTAAGTTGGTCGAAAGTTTACTCATAATGCACTCGAACAGTAACGATTGCGAATTTCTACGCCATAAAAAAATACATATTACTCTCTCCATCCCTTACCCTTACCGTGTTCACATTTTTATTTATATTTGACACTTATTCTGTTATTTTCTTTTTTAAAAACAAATTATACACTTTAAATCTCAATTTTAAATTTTAAATTTTATTTATACTAATTAATTATCTTTATCTATAATTATTTTCATTAATATATATTTACTAATTATACCCTCGTACATTTTTGTATTTATAATAAAATAGACACCATAATCGGGATAGAAAAAATATCATATTAACTAATAAAATATTATTATTATCTTGTAAAAAATTACCCGTGACTGTGTTCGAACCTCCGCCACTTTTAAATTTTACCAACCAAACATGATCGTCTAATTTGATTTATCTTGCGGAATCTAATTTGCGAACTAAAATTCGAGTCTTTTGAAAAATCTATTGAAAGGGGGCCTAAAAACACATCAATCGTGGTGGGACTTTAGGACAACCACCCACCAAGATGGATAAGATGAACACAACAATTTATTTATTTATTTCTATTTTTATCCTATTTTCGTAATATTAATATAAATAAAAAAAAAAATTATGCTGCAATTTTGTGCTGGTTGACTTTCTTATTTTGAAAATTAAGTTGAAAATATTTTTTAATAATTTAATAAAAGAAAAAGATTTTAAATATCTAATCTATGATATATAATATTTATTTATTAAAGAAAAAGATTAAAAAAAAACAAAAAATTTAAATAAATTCTTAAAGATGTAAAATATTTAAAAAGAATTAGGAGTAATAGACAGATTATTGTACTGAAAGAATGAAGTAACAAACAAGTTAAAAAGAGTGTCCAAATAATCAAATTTCACCACCAAAATTTAGATAGGATAGAGAGAGCCATGTCAGGTATAAAAAATGACACTAATTTCTCAAAACCATATTCAAACAAGAACAATCATCTCTTCCCCCAGAAAAATTTAGATGCACCAACTAAATGAAACAAATCGATATGACATTTGCAAAAAATTTATGTGGTAACATATATAGGGGTTGTAAAAAATATCTGGAAAATTTGGACCACAATTTGGCACATTGCTGAACATGTGAAGCTGTGTATTTAAAATCAAGCCACATAAGTGAATATACGTCGCTTTCCGACCGCATAATGAATGAAGATGCAGAAAGAGTATTAATTCGTTGATGGTGAAGGAAGAATTAAAGCAAGAAAACAGGGACTGCAGAAAGAATCTAAGAACTGCCATTACCTCGGGGGAATATATGTAAGGTTCCGATGGGATCGGTCACATTTCAACTTTGAATGTAAGAGGTTTCCATTCCAAGATTGGTTCTAAATCCCCGCAACCTGTCCAAAACAAGATGAAATTTCCTGTCCAACTAGGAAGTTTTTTCGACATGATTTTAACTCAAAACTTCATGATGCCCAAAAAGGTAATCATCGGTCTAAAGATAATTACGAGCATGTTGTCAATATACCGCAAGTTGAATGTTACAACTAAAAAAGTCACAGATTTCATTGTGCATTAATATTTTCACACAAAAAAAAATTCGCTTGGTTAGAATATTTCATAATTTTCCTCTATAACCGAAGTAATACATCCAACAAAATAAATAATAAATACCTGCAGATTACCGTGTAAGAATGACCAATAACCAGAAATGTGTCGCACTCCAAGCCAATGTAGGTGCACGATGCCTCTCCGAAACCCTGAAAAAGCTTTCCTTGTATAGAAGTAAAATATTGCAAACACGAAGTAGATTTCATGTCAGGTTCAGTACTCAGTTGCACAACTCACATCTAACTAAGTACACTTACAAGTTTGGATCAAGGGAAGACCTTTCTAGAACATGAGAACAAGTCTTCTACAGCCATTAATAGAACACATCAAGAACATATATCACAACTGTTCTGTGTTCGTATAGTTCCCATCTACAAACAGAAATACAACGAATTCCTCATAAGGAAGTGTGCCTTAATAACATCAACTACAATTAAGTTTGCAACATCTAGTCACAAACTCATGTTACTAGCAAGCAAAAGTTGTTTGACTGTTATATCTATTCCCTTTACCCATCATCGATCAGCTTCATCTACTCAGAAGCAATCAAAAGGAGAACTACAGAACGGGCACAAATGTTTACGGCCTTTTTCACTAGTATCATATTAATGATATGAATGTAAAACAAACCCTAGAAGCAAAATCCCACAATCATATTCGCTGCAATTCTATAAATAGCTTGGTGTTGGAGGTCAGAATCTACAAAACGTTTTAGAAAACTAAATAGGTACACACTATCATACATATTGCTCCACATCGATGTCATGTAAGCGGAAAGTAGATGCTTCTTTAAAGATAATGAAACATGAAGAATTCGCAGGGTGCCCTACACTGCATACAATCATCATTTGTGCTATTTCACTCGGCCAAGAATATCTGTAAAAACAATTCCAGATCGACACCCATATCATTAAGTTGGTATCAGTTACACTATAAATTTATTCCTAACAAAAACATATAGCATTATAGGAAAATCATTAACGCTGTTCAAGAACAGGTAGACGATTTGAGATATTGATTTGTATATATCCTTTCTCCTATACATTTACAAGAGAGAGAAGGTGAGGGGGTATGCACACATTGCTTACCGGAAAACTTCACCAAATGATAAGGCTGCCAACTCAGCCGGTGAAGGATTTAACAGCGATGAACTGACACTAAAACTTTTGATTGGTACAACTGTTGGAAGGGTCCAATTTAGTACCTGTTATCCAAGTACTGCAGCATCATAATCCCTAGCATGTCTCAGATATGAAATTTCTCAAAGCACCAAGACGATTATCCTTGTCCGGATATCAGTTGATGTCTGGTGAAGGAGATCGGAAGAAACCAAGCACAAACATGCTGAACCAACAAGCAAACTTTCACCAAACTATAACAAGATAACAAAGTCATTAAAACTAATCTCAAATGTATAACCTATCACCATCTTGCAACAACAAGGTCAACGAAACTACGCTCCAATCTACCAACATCTATCTAGCTCCAATTGACACTGTAAATCTCGACAGTTGGGATGACACATGTGTTGAATATTAGAAGAGAAGTTCTCTTCCTCCTAATTTCAACATGACAAGGACAAAAGAAGACCTTTTCTCAGCCACGGATTTCTTGAATGGCAGAGCGCAGAACATCATCCCCAACAGCTGATCGCAGTTGCTTCATAAAAAGATCTTTAGTCAACCTCCCGTTCTGCAAAGGAATTGAAAATTCTTTAATACCAAAGAGTACATCAATTAATAAATTATAACAAGATCCTTCTCAGTTAAGGCAGTTAAGAGTTATCCCACCTTAAATGAAGCCCATATAGTTTGCAGTTCTTGAAATCTCGGCGGAGGAAGAGTAGTTTTCAGCCTGAATAATAACTTTGCAACCAATTCAGCTGAATGAGGAGCATTAACGGCACCATTTACTATCCCTACAAAGAAGATAAAAGCGTTATGTTATCTGCATCTGAAAATACAGTATACTTTCGAATAAAATAATCCATTTTCAAGGACACTTATTACCAAATGGGTTCACGGGCTTGTAGCTGACGACATACTCTGGCAGAATATGGGTATTCATGTTCGCATGCCACACGGTGTACCACTTAGGTCTGTCCAGATCATCGACGCCAGTATCATACTCCACACTTGAAGGATACAACTGCTGAGACCCTGCTTCAACCTTCTCACACCTTCCCAATATCACTCTACACAAAATGATATGCTTCTCACCACTCTCATCCATGTCCGACAGCATTGCACTGTTCCACATCAAAAACCAAATCACCGAAAGCGACTTCATACACCCGAATCAAAGAGCTAAAATTAAACAAATAAGTCAATAGATTTTCTCATCCATCTCATTAGGGTATATAGTTAAGTAACTGATCAATACACAAAACAACAAAAACCGACGGTCAAATTCAACTAAATGACTTACTCAGAAGCTAAAGCTAAACACAGCCACATATAGAAACCTCACCTAATTCCCGGAATTCGGATTGGCGACAGGTGGATCCCAATGCCGTGACCTTTGTGACGCGGCATCTCAGTAGGTATGCCAAAGCCATGCAACAAAATGTTCTCCACACCATTAGCTGAGGTTCCATACCATGCAAAAACCACATTACTCCGCCCTCTGGCCCTTTCCATTATCTCCATTTGCTTCAAAAATACCTCCCGCCGAGCCTTATCCATCGGCCCCGGCCGAGTGCACTGATGAATAGATGTAACTTTAGCCTGGGGGTCGACAGCTTGCAGTCCCGTCAAAAACAAGTTGGTAATCACTTCATATTGCTTCTCCTCAGCTCCCAAAACTCGAGTCTTCACCCAACGGGGCGAGTCCAATTCAGTCCCAACAACATCAACATGTCTCCTCTTCGCATTACTGCTAGACGAACTTCCTTCCATTTTCACATTATCGGCATTTCTCTCCCTCTTTCTCTTACTTATATTTACATCATCGACCGACTTCAAAGCCGCGCCGGCTACAGAATTATCTCTTATTTTGATATCAATTTGGATTTTTGGGCATGCCTCGTTGCAATTTACAACATCATCCTCAAGCCTATCTTCACTACTATTAACAAAAAATTTTGGGAAGAAACACTTACCATCAACATCAATCCATGAAATAGACCGATAATTCCCCGAATCGAGCTCAACCTCGAGCATACGGAAAAAGTCGATGAGGCAATTGAACCCCATAACTCGCGCCTCCACCATCGGCTTCCCCTCCGAAAACCCTAATTTCATCACCTCCGCCAACTCCTTGGGGTAATCCATCCACGATCCGTTCTCGTAGAACATGAACCTCCCAGGCTTGGCGCTCCGCTTGAAATTCGAGTAATTCTGGATCAGCAGCTCGCAAGTCAATGGCTTCGAAGACCTAGCAGGAGCCACAACTTTCCCCTTCCACTTCGCATCCGCGGCCCCGTCCGTCACCGCCGGAGAAGAATTGACCGAATCCATAGCCTGCCGGAAACCCAACGTACAACTTGAGAAGCTCTCGAAACAACTCACCGATTGAGATCGCGAGGAACTTCCGAGGAAATGCAGCCCACGCCGTCTGCGTGTGATATACATGTCATTGCGGACCTCAGTCGGCGTACCCGAAATGACATTTCTACCCCTGTCTTCGAGGGTATTAGAGTAATTTAACAAATGCTGATATGACTTGATCCCTACGAAAATCGTTTTTATTTAATCCCAGGCTTGCCGTGCATTAATATTTTAAAACATTTTGGATTACTTATGCCCAAAGAAATTCTTACTATATTATTTCTAAAGTCAGCAATTTTGACTATTCCTTTATTTCCATCCCAAATCCTCAATAATAATAATAATAATAATTTTATTACTATAACAAAAGCTCTGTGAAGTTGATATTGATATATATATATATATATATTTTTAAATGTTTTATTTTAGGATTCTTTTAAAAAAGCTAAAATAAATTGAGTTTGAATTTAAATTGAATTTGATTTTTAAAATAAATTGAAATTCATACCTAAGTGACAATTTCACGGCATTTGATTTTGCCTTTTTTATTTTTTTATTTTTAATTTCTTTTAGTTTATATATTTTATGAAAGCTTATATGCGAAGTGGAGCTTCCTTTTTATACTTGACCTCTATGGATCCTTCATGACGTCTCTATATATATTTTTTAAATTTTAATATAAATTATAAATTATATAAAATAGAATACAATTCTTTTTATAAATATTATTTTTTATTTACCTAAGAAAACATAAAATAAATTAAATAGTTACTATATTACTTTTTTTCACAAGCACAACTATTATATATTGATTTATATATTTTTTAAATGTTCCATTTTAGGATTCTTTTGAAGAAGAAGTTGGAATTAACTTTGATTTGAATTTTTTTAAGTTAGAAATATTAGTATTATATTGCGATGCAGTAGAAATAAAGTAAAAATGACTAAAATAATCTTATTAGTACGGTGTGATATAAAGGTAATGTCATTTGTATAATATATTATAAGTTGTAAAGGTATTTTTAATGTTAAGTAGATAGTACAGTTACTAAAAAAAATACTTTTATTATGGAACGGACTAAAATAGAAAAACGAATAGTTTGTTATGAGACGGAGTAACTATTTAAAATATGTATTTTTTAATATATATATTTTGTGACAAAAAATTTATATTTCTTTTGAAAAACGTAGAGTTCAAATAATAAAATTTATTTATTTTTAACAAAACAATTCTAATACTCTGTTTACACAAATATTTTTGGAATTTTTGTACTCTTATTTATTTATTTATAAATATTATATTAAATATATATATTTTTTTTGTAAATGTCACATCAATTACAATTTTTTTATTTAAAAAAAAATTCCAAATTTTGTAAAACTTGTGTATAATTCATATCCTAATTATTTGGCCTAAGAGAATCTATTATAATTGAATACAATTAAGCTTAAAAAGACCAAGCAAACTATGGTATGCCAAAAGCCCACGAAAGTTGTGCTGGTTAGTTTTGAGTTAGATATTTACTATTGATTAGACACATTTGTCTATTTTTTTGTAATAAATTAAAAAATAATACTCCCCCGTTCCGTTGGAAGGATGATGACGTTTGCTTTTTACACGTAGATTTTTTAATATTGGCAAACTTACCCATAACTTCCTTGTGGTTTCGAAACTCAGCGTAAATTCTCCATCTACTTTAAAAATTGCATGACGTCCCCTTATACTAAAATGTTGCATGAAACCACTTTGTGGTTTCGAAACTCAACATAAATCTCTATTTTACTTTAAAAAATTGCATGACGCTCACTTATATTTTCAAAAATATTGCATAAAACCCCCCTGTCATGCAAAACATATAGATAAGAAATTATTTTCTTATCACACGAGGAAAGTTTCATGGTGGTGGGGTTTCATACAACGTTTTTTAAAGTATAAGGGGGTACTATGCAATTTTTAAAATACAAGAAGATTTTACGCTGAATTTCAAAACCACAAGGGAGTTATAAACAATTTTACCTTTAATATCAGTATTATATTGGATTGTAGTAAAAAAAAATAAAAATACTCCTATTATTATGGTGTAATATAAAAGTAATGGCATTTGTGTAATATATTGTAAGTTGAAAGGATACTTATTATGTGAAGTAGGTAGTACAATTATTGAATTAGAAAATAATAACTTTTTTTGGGACGGACGAAAATAAAAAATAGTAATCTTTCAAGGGAACGAGGAATTACTAATATTTTATTATTAAAAATATTCTACTTATTCTTTGGACAGGCCTTCTGTAATTTCTTTTTAAGGAAAAAAATATATATATTTTTAAAAAAAATCTCAAAAATAATGTATGGATGAAAATAATTTTAGAATATCTGGACTTTGTTCAAACAATATTTTTAGAATTTTAGCATTATATAATTTTTTGTTAAAAATGTTACATCAATTTATTATTATTATTATTTTTTTTTTTATCTAACAAAATATAATACTCTATAGTAGCATAACAACAAACATATTTTTTCCATTTTAATAAATTTATCAATTTTAAATATATTTAATCTATAATACAATTTAATTAAATTTCTTACACTTTGTATATGGGATCACTCAAACTTATATTTATTTTTATTTTTCTCAATAAATAAATATTTTATTTACATTTATATTTTTTTTTCTTTTTTTATTTATTCATATTGTACATCTTTTATTGAACTTAAATATGAACATAGACCAGTACTATACTGACTTGACGTATTAAATCAACACCCACTTAATTAGATCAACATAGATTTGTAACAATTAAACATATATTTTAATTTTTTTAATTATAGGACGAAATACTAATTTTTTATATTTATCAAATTTAATGGTTTTATAAATTTTAAAGCTAAATTGGGCTCAAACAAAGGCCATAAGTTTTGTTCAAGCTGGTCCACAGAGTAGTTTGTTTGGACCGATTGTATTATTAATAATATATTTATATTTAATAAATTTCATATAAATATATTTTAAATTGCGGGTTTCTAGAAGGATCCCTAAATTTTTTTGTTAGAATTAATAATATATATATATATATATATAGAGAAGAAAATAATATCAATCATGAAAATGATGGGATTATAAAATCTTAAAAATATATACATAAACATAATCTTCATAAAACACTTCAATTATAAATTATATAAAACTAGAAGAAAATAATACAAACAACAAACACATTTTACATTTAAATTTCATTGTCAATGATCATTAATTTTTCGACGAGACTAGCCTCGTCTCCATAAATACGATATCATGTTCAATAAAACACGGTCGTTTTAACGACGCAGTAAAGTCTTATTTACAAAGGCTTTACTGTGTCTTAAAGGGCTTGTATGTCTTAACAGACTGAGCAAGCCCTTGTATCGATCCGGCGGCGGCGACGAGCGAAACGATCAGGCAAGACCAACTAAGGATCTTAAGCCATATCCACCGCGCCGAGAACTTAGGGATTTTCGACTGCGCAATGTGCATCTCAATCGGGAAGTACACCGTCAACGGATAGAAAGACGCCGCTCCGATGAGGCCAAGAATGTCGTTGAAGAACGGGAAGATCATCGCCACTAGCGCCGTCAGGACCACATACGTCGTTCGCCACACAAGCCGGAAGTAATTTACCTGATAATTAGATCCGCAAAAGCTATGGTCCGCCGATAGGAATTTGCTCTCCGGCCATCTCTCGCCGCACCGTTGCTCGACGTACGAGAATATCGGTTGCGCGAACACCTGTCCGGACAAGAGATTTTATTACCATGTAATAAGTAGAGGTATTCGAAAACTCAACACAGCTCAGTTCAACTCGTTAATTGTAAAAATCCAAACTCATAAGAGCGCTAAAACCCGTGCTCATAACTTTATATATATTTTTTATATACTTTTTTCGGCTCAAAACAATAGGGACATTTGATATAGATACAGAAATTAAAGAATAATAGTATTATATTGATAATGAGTATAGAAATATTTCTAAAAAACCAAAATGTCCGCTATTTTATATAATTATTGTGAAAAAGTGAGGATAATTTTGTAAAACTATGATAAACTAGTTATCAAAAATAAAAATGAGACTATTGTTTTGAAACGGATAAAGTATAATAAATAAAACTCGAGCTTAAGCTCAATTTTAAAAAATATGCTAAAACCCGTGTTCATAACTTTATATATATTTTTTATATACTCTCTCCGTCTCAAAACATTATGGACATTTGACATGGATACAAAAATTAAAGAATAATAGTATTATATTGATAATGGGCGTAGAAGTATCTTTAAAAGACAAAAATGCCCCTACTTTATGTAATTATAGTGAAAATGTAAGGATAGTTTTGTAAAAATGTAGGGGAGCTAGTTACTAAAATGAAAATGAGACTATTGTTTTGGAACAGACGAAAATGACAAAACGAAACTATTGTCTTTGTACGGGGAAGTATAATAAATAAAACTCAAGTTTAAGCCCAATTTAGAAAAAAAATAATTATTATTCAAAAAATAAAATACTCGACTCAAATAATAACTACCTGATAAGCTCCGATAAGGTGGATTGCAATGCAAACGTTAGCAAAGTCGATGAGCCAAAACGGTTCGTAGAATCCGAATCCGGTGAGGAAGTTTCCGGGAGCATCATTTCCGAACGCGGCGTAACCTATGCAACCGCAAAGGACATAGAACACGGTTGTGACCGAAACCCCGGCTAAGGAAGCCTTCTTCATTACCTTGCTCTCGGAAGGCTCCGACTTTAGTGTGTCCTAAAAATTATCGGGCTACAATTATAATTTTGCTCGTGTGTATATATATATATATATATAGTCGAGAAAATTTTTAATTTAATCATTTAAAATTAACTTGCCTGAATTTCGATGAGCACGGTGGAGTAGGCATAAGCGAAGGCGATGTTTCCGATGGCTTGGAAGCTCCTCCACACCTTATCGGCGGCAGTTACGTCCACGCCAACCGTCGCGCCAGTTAAAGTTGTTTTAACATGATGTCCGCTTTCTGGTTTATTTTTATTTCAATGCAATACAATTAGTAATTTTATATAAAAAAGATTGTGACGATAGAAATTATTATTATTATTTTTATTTAATTTTTATGACGAAGGAATCTGCAAGATAATTTTATAAATTTACCCCTGTGACAATAGGGATTATTGTTGATTATATATAAATTCGATTACCTCCAACTTTGGCAATGGAGAGGCCGAGGCCAATAGTGGAATAGGCGAAAGACATGACGGCCGCGACAATCGATAGCCAGTCGAGCTCATGGAAGTTGGGTATTTGGCTTAGAACGATTTGAATGACGGCGAATGCCGCCATGTAAGGGTAGTTCGAGACCGAACACTTATCCTTATGCCCATTTTTATGGAAACAATTCGATCTCTCGACGGCCCTAAAAAAATAAAAATAAATAAATTATCGGTATATATATTAAAATAATTTTTAAAAAAATTATAACTAAATTTTAATCAATTTATATAATATATATATATATATATATGTACTTACACCATGCTGATTGAAGCTGTAATTGTGTATCCAATGGTGATTCCGATAAGATTACCATACTGAGCAATTCCACAGAGCTGAACTTTAAAACCACCTAAAAATTCATACATACATATATATATATATATATAATTAAAAAATAATTCGTAATTTAAATAAATAAATAAATATATATATATAAATAATAAATGCCGCTGCGGCTAGAATAACAATTAATGTGAACTATCGAATTAATAGAAATGTCTGAATACGTGAATTAAATTTTAGATATGCTAAATATTAATTGCAGCTAACAACCAACCCTCTCCTTTAATTTACTAAACAAATAAATAAATAACAGAAACTAAGTAACCATAAATATTTTGGGTGTATTTATTTTATAAAATATATAAAAATAATGAATGTTCGTAGTATATTAATTTTTTTTAAAAAAGATAAATAGTAGAAAGAACAAAATTTATATTTATTTATTTAATTATTACCTAAGTGTGAACGGACGACGTCCATGTAGGTGTAGTTCCGGCGGCCGTGGAGGGGGCCGGGGCAGCGGTAGGTGTCGGCGAGGAGGGTGGAGGTGAAGTAAGTGATGAAGGAAAACGCCATCAGCACGGCCGGGCCGGCGGCCCATCCCAACTGGGCTATGGCCCACGCCAGCGACAGCACGCCGGAGCCGATCACCGCCGTGATTATGTGGGCGCTCGCCGTCAGCAGCGTCCCTGCCGCCGCCGTCATTAGATACACATATACATACATATATATATAATAATAAAAATATATATATTAATAGAATAAATAATTAATTAGTTACCGGTTCGCTTGACTCGGCCGTCGTCGTCGAAGGCTTTTCCGGCGGCGGCGCCGCCGTGCTCGAGGGAAATTTGGGGGAGGGATTGGACGGAGGCGGTGGCCATGGTTTTCGATTTTCACAACGTCGGGTGTGTGTGAGAAATGTGGAGTGAAGGGGAGGGGGGATTTAAATGAGAAATAATGGGGTGGTAGGGGTGGCTGAGAAATTAAAAAAAGAAATAGAAAATGGAAAATAATTATTATGATGTGGGACTGTTAAAAATATATTTATTGCTAGGGATGAATATTGGAATTAAATAGGGGGAGAAAAATGGAAAAGGTATTTTGGTAACGAAAATTATTTAGGATGTGAATATTTGAAATTTTATTTTGTGGGATATGCATGGATTTTAAAAAGTTATCTTTTTTATTTATTTATATATATTGAAAATTGAATTTATATATTCATTCCGTCCAAATTCAAAAATGGTCTTTAAATTACATGTGTAACGAAATATTTGTAATTTATGTAAAAATTAAAAAAATATATATATTAATATATGATTACTTGAATGTGACATATTAAAATGATAAATATATATATATATATATAAATTAAGCAAGAAAGGAGTAAAGAAATTATGAATTGAGTAGATGTTGTTTGCAATTTTAAAGACAAAGAATAAGTAACACTTAATTATATTATGTATATATTAAATTTTTTTATAAATTATATATAATTGGGAATCAGTTCTTTGACCAACTAATATTAATGACCATCTGTTTGAACAAAATATTCTTGTTTGCCACAACCACACATTATACTCTAAGAGCATATAAAAACAAATATATATACTCCCTCCGTCCAATAAGTAAATATTTATTTATTTTTTCACATAATTTTAAAAATATTAATATTATATTAAGATACAGTAGGAATAAAATAAAAATAATTAAAATAATCTTATTAGTACGTATGATATAAAGGTAATGACATTTGTGTAATATTCCCTCCGTCCACAAAAAAAGTATACAATTACTTTTGGCGCGGTGTTTAAGAAATAATAGTATTTTAATTACAGTGGGTAGTTAAAAGTAGTGTAATGACATTTTTGCCCTTGCTTTTTTTGTGTAAAAGTAATGATGTAATGTAAAGTAGGGGTATTTGTGGAAAAAAGTAAGGTATTTAATGAAATGTTTACTTTGTAATTGGACGTCCCAAAATAGAAATATGTATACTTTCTAGCTGGACGGAGGGGGTATATTGTAAGTTGTAAGGATATTTGTGATGTCAGGTAGATAGTACAGTTACTAAAAAAGAAAATAGATACTTTATTATGAGACAAACTAAAATGAAAAAATTGATAATTTGTTATGGCACGGAGGGAGTACTATATTTCGTTACGTAAAAAGAATATCATGATTATTATTATTTTTTTTATGATTTTTAAATATTAATTATTATTTTAATATATAGTGCAAATCAAAAAGAAAACGACAAAAATATTTATATTAGTCACTTATAATACAAATATAACAATATTTGTAAAATAAATTATACAAATATAAAAATATTTTTAACGCTAAATACACAGACACAAAAATCAAATGATATTTCTATGAGAAGAAAATAGTAATTAAATTTAATCCAATTCGCTTTTGAATAGTAACTAGCAGTTGTCAGTTGTAAATTTTAACTTCATAATTATTGTTTTTTTTTTCTTAAAAAGAATCTAAATAAACTAAATTTTGATTTTGATTTTCTTAATTTAAAATATTAAATTAACTATTTTTTATTTCAAAAATAATATTATATCCGTCCGATTTAAAGATTATATTTATTTTTTGCATATTAATTTTTTTATTAGAACACAATATGAAAAAATAACAAAAATACTTATTATATTAATATCTTATAAAATTAATATAATAATATTTATATAAAATATTATATAAAAATAAAAATATTTTTAATATTAATTACAATCATTCATAAATACCTTAACACATACAAATAAAGCAAATCTAAAAACAGAAATTAAATATTAATTCCGTACCATAATAATAATAATAATAATAATAATAATGATAATAATAATAATAATACATCTGCCAGCTGCAAATAAAAATCGATAGTATAATAATTCGTGCTATTAATTTGGTATGTAATTCAGCAATTGAAATATAATTTAGAAGGTTATTAATATATATTATTAAAAGCTTATTGATAATCAAATTCCTTTTATGTACTCCCTCCATCTCATATTTATATATCAATTTATTTTTTTTATGAAATTTTAGAAATATTAGTATTATATTGAGATAAAGTAGAAATAAAAGTAAAAAGACTAAATTAACTCTATTAGTATTGTATGATATAAAGGTAATATATTGTAAATTGGAAAAATATTTGTAATATTAGGTAGATAATACAATTACTAAAAAAGAAAATAGATACTTAGTTATGAGACGAACCAAAATGGAAAAATAGATAGATTGTTAAGGGACAGATGGAGTATTATATACTCCCTCCGTCCCAATACAATAGTCTTGTTTACAATTTTTGTCCGTCCCAAAACAATAGTCTTATTTTCATAAATAACTATATCACCATAAAACTACCTTTACTTTTTTATTTTTATTACACAATTGTCGCTACTTTTTACACTAATACACTCACAAGGGCAAAAAAGTCTTTTATCCATATTTTTTTACCTGCTGCTAATATAATATCAATATTTCTTAAATCTCGTACCCATCCCAATTAAGACTATATTTATGGGACATATCACTTAATAACATACTATTTGTTGTATCACATGCAATATATGTACTATTGTTTTAACAATAATATTAAAAAACATAGCTATTAACTTCAAATTCAATTATATTATTATTATTATTATTATTATTATTATTTTCTTCAATTTATAGAATTGCAAAGATAACATTCAAATATTTTCAATTTTTTTTTTAGAGAAATATACACTACAAGAAAATTAGTATATTTGTAACGGAATTCCGTCATTAAAATTTACGTAGGTAACGCAATTTCATCCATAATTCCGTCTCTAATGTCATTTGCAACGGAAAAAACAGATTTATGAACGAAAATACTTCGTTACAAAAATAATAATTTCTTGTACTGATATGATAAGCTTTGTGCACTAAAGTTTTATTTGTAATTATATTATAAAATTAATTAAAAGCAATTTAATTGAATAATTATATAATTCGAATAATATTAGTTGTTTGGAGTCAAACTTTTTGTAGAAAGATTCAATGGTGGAGAATGGATGAAAGGACTAATTATTTTACAACATGAGTGGGAAATTATAATAAGATTATTAAATTTAATTAGTGATTATGTATAAAATATTATTTGGAATCCTTCTTTTTATTAAGTGTAAAAAAATTTATAAGAATAATGAATTTTCTTGTAATTAAATATTGGCTTATAATAGTATTTTTATAAGATAAGAATAATATACTTTTACCAATAATTGTTATAATTATATGATAAAAAAAAAAATTGCAAAAGAAAAACACACAATGTATATATTTTTTTTTAAGTTTAAAAAATAATATTCAATACGTCTTAAATATAATGTAATATTTGATTTTCGATATAAACATTTAGATAAATAGTATTAAGTAGAATAATTTAGAATTGAAGTAATGTAATTACAGATAAAAATGTGTTAGTATTATTTTTTAATTTGGGATGATTTAATATGATGATTTGTATTGTATATTTATTAGAGATTAAATATAGTCGGTTATTTTATATTTTAGAAATATTATAGAGTGCTTGAAATAAACCAAAGAAAAAAATATTGTAGGATATTTGAAACAGATGAAATACTATTTAAACGATAGTTTATAATAATTTTGAGTTTTTTTTTTTTATTTTTTCTATTTTAAATATAAATCAATACTATTCAAATCGAATAATTTTTAATAAAAATATATTAGTAGTATTTTTTTTCATAAAATATTATATCAAAATATCTTTTAAATCAAATACTTCCTCCGTCCAATTTCTATTATCATAAAATATATTTCCACAATTTTTTAGGTGATTGTCTTTTTGTTATAATCGACAAATTTGTCATTAATTGTATGATAAAGATTAAAAATAATAAATGAATGAAGGGTAAAAATGTAAAATTTGTGTTTAAAAAATAAAATAGGACAATAGTTGTTGGAGGGATAATAAAAGGGTAAACTTTTTTTTAGTCCCGTAACTGGACCCCCTTATCATTTTAGTCCCGTAAGTGGAACCTGTCGCAAACTAGTTTCATAAGTGAAAAATTTTCGCTGTTTTAGTCCTTCGGCGTCGGAGACGCTCGCGTAACTTGCCGGAGGTGACGTGTCCGCCAGGTGCCCCGCCAGGTCAGTGACACTTGGCGGACACGTGGATTTATTATTATTATTATTATTTTTCATTTTTTTTTTAATTTGACCAAATAAAAAAATAAAAAAATGCAAATAAAATTAAAAATAAGTTATAAAAAAAATTTAAAAAAATGAAATAAAAAATAAAAAAAATCCACGTATCCGCCAAGTGTCGCTGACCTAGCGGAAACGTCACATCCGGCGAGCCACGCAGGCGTCTCCGGCGTCGGATAACTAAAATAGCGAAAATTTTTCACATATGAGACTAGTTTGCGACAGGCTCCACTTACGGAACTAAAATGATAAAGGGTCCAGTTATGGGATAAAAAAATCAGTTTACCCATATAAAATTAAAACCTCAAACTCGAATTAAAACCAAACACACTCTTTGTTTGTAAGGATTTCCTTATTTTGCCCTTGTATTTTAATTTGATATAATAATATTGATTTAAATAATTACAAATTCGAAGTATTTATAATACTCCATCCGTCCCGAACGAAGAGTGTTGTTTATTTTATAATGTACAATTTTTAATATTAGTATTATATTGACATGTAGTAAAATAAAAAAATAAAAATATTTAGTAATGCATATATAATATAAAAATAATAGTATTTGTATAATATATTGTAAATTATAAAAATATTTATTATATTATTTAGGTAGTAAAATTATTAAATTATAAAATAATACTCTTATTATGAAAGAAACATAAATGAAAATTGACATATTTATTTTGAAGTGGAGGAACTATATAAGATAACTTATTGAGA